AATTTAAGTACGCTCCTACTTTATCTTTTCAAAGAGACCTCACAATTGCGATTTAGCAGGCAAACACTGCACCAAGAATCAATGCGCAAGGGATTGCCTACTTTCCAGGTTGCCTCAGGAAATACGCGAGGTATGCAGCGGAAAATTCCGGACCTTCTTGCGGGATATCCGTAATTTTTCAGTACTGCCGGACCGCTTCTTCCTGGATTGGGGTATGAGCGAAATAATTGCTGACACCTTATGGATAGGACACAACCCCTCCCCCCTAAAATTAAAAAAAAAAAAAAAAAAAAAAAAAAAAAAAGACGATATAAAGTAAAGCGTGGACTTACAGGAACCATTTCCGCAGCATGGGTCTGGCATGTTGTCGAGATGGATGTTTTGTTCAGGCAAACGGAGGATCACGGACAGACACTCACTCAGCGTCGTTGAACTGATCAAATAATGATCTTCTTGATCTTCCCTCTTGTTATATTAAAATCATGTTTTGTCTCCGCATTTTGTGCCGTGTGCAATTCGGTGGAAAGGCGCATTATTCACACTTAGTATCACTCGTTCCCAAGGTCAAGCGCTTTCTCTGTCCTCAACAATAATTTGAGTCTGGAGCGTAATCCGTAATCACTGCCAAAGATAATAACGTTTATTCTGGATCGTGATCACGACTTTCTTCCCTTGCTCTTTGTTTGTTTTTACGCGAGATAAGCACCTACGCTCCGTGCACGGCGCACGTAGCAGGAGTGCCCTAAATCCATCAGAGATCTCTCCCGTGTCCACAATCATCAAGATCAAAGTCTCCAGAATGGATCGGATATCAAAGCGTGACGTAGAAACTGGTTCTGATGGGGTGGATCTTCAGCTTTATCGCAATGAATTCTGGGTACGATCGATGGATTTTTAATCGAAATTAGGTAGCGCGGGCATTATTTTGGAAATATTGAAGTATATCAGTTTCACTGTGAAAAAAGTCTCTTGTAGTCAGAGATAAGACTTTTAAAAAAATTTACTGGAAAGAATACTCTTAATTCAATCGGATTGTTGCTTGTATCGAGAGTCGAGCCTCTTAACTTAAGCAGATTTCCTTTTGATTCAAGCAAGAATCCGATCGAATCGAGAGTAATTTTTTCTTGCCAAAGTGTAGAGTCTGGACTTTGGATCCAGCAGAATTCTTTTTTCAGTGTTGGACATAAATAACTAAAGAAAATTCATCCCAAAAATTGTCTCTCAAAACCTGAATATACGGTCAAAAATACTGTTGTTAATTAACTATTGATACCCAAGTAGTGGGTATTCCGCAACCAAAAAGTTGCAACTTGATTGCACTAAGATTGCAACTTTATTCCGTTTACATTTTATTCCATATTTTCTACAAATTGGCCCCATCTTTACAATCAAATCGTAAAAAAATCAATAAGTATTATTGTGATGAAAATTGAAATTAAATTGAAGGAAAAATTGAGTAAGCTAGGTTCGAAAACTGTTACTCTCGCCTGAAACGATGGCTATGTAGACAGCAGGCCAAACATGCATTTGTTACACCTTGATCGCAATTTAATTCATTCTTTTCGCCACAACGCATCTGTCTGGATTTGTACTGCATGTCAAATCTTTGCGAGGCAAGTCAAAATTTTTTTCAGTTTTTGATTCGAGCCCGAAAAGTTCGCTTCCGAGGAATTTCAGATATTCTAGAGCCTTATTTTTCCCAAAAAATATTGCTGAAAGGGATTTCAGCTTTCCCTCTCCTTCCTTATTGCCCGGCCGGGCCCTCTCCCTTCAAAAATCGATCCCGGAGAACCATTCAGTGCTAAAGCACGATTCCTGGACAAACCACTAAAGAATTCAGTTCTGAGAGGGGTAATCTGTTCTCATCCATCAGAAATGTATCATTTCAAGTCCCCCGACGAATTTCATCGTGAGGAAGCGCGGCTCGGGGTCGCGGGAGGGGTTGATTGGTAATTTCACTTGACTGAAAATCAACTGTAAGGAATCGAAATCGAAAAGAGAACCCTACTGCACTCATCTCGCCGCACGTCCATTTCTTATTTTCGTCCTCATCACTCCTACTACCAGTTGACCTAGCGCCAGTGTTGCAACTTGCAGCACCCCCTTGAAAAGCCATTGATTTTGTTGGTATTGATGACATTATCAAATCACTAGTTTTTACAACCCTCGGAAACAGAAGGAGCCACCTCCATACGTAGAAATCCAACTTTGTACTCTTCGTGAAGCCAACGCAACGCGCCTACCACCCAGGTGTCGACTAGGTTGCATCTTTCTTAAATTGAAGGGGCACATTTTTCTTCTATCTAGGAATAAGCACATTTAAAATAAGCAGAAAGGCTCTCTTTTTGAAGTCAAGTTTATCTAGGATATACATTGTGTCTCGTGCAAGAATTGGAAATGGAACCTCTGCAAGTTCAGGAATTTATATGTCCTACCCTATAAGCACGATTGCACCAATATTTTTATCGTATTTATTCACGCTCAGGCCTATAAAAAAAGTATCAGAATTGAGGCTATAATAACGGTAAATTTTTACTTTGTAAGAGAGTCCACTCTTGTAATAGGTCAAATTTTCTACTCAGACATAAACGCTGATACCCGAGCAAGGTTGCCAAGACTGTTAGAGTAAAATTGCCGATTCTACTATGACCTGCGCACGCAAGTTTGCATTCCTTTTCTTGATAGACTTTTCGAAGTAGAAGTCTCACACGTTGTAACACGTGAGCTTATTTATTTAGCGCTATCTCTGCATAGAGTATTAGAGTCATTACTTCCCGTGAATTCTTCCGTGCGGAAAATGGACCACAATGAAGGCAGGGCTCAAATGAGGATACGACATGTTTTCATCGGAGTTCTGGTCAAATATTAAAAACAAACAATCACTTCCGCAAATATCAAGATTTAGGTCTCGCCTAAATCTTCCTCTCCATCTGATGTACGGTATATTTAAATTATTTAGGAATAATCCAGCAAAACCTACTTCCATCGTAGAGTACCGTGGAATCAATTCTGTGAGCGAATATATTCAAGTAGCCTTTGGAATTTAGGGAGAAGACACTCTGAACCGGTAAATACAAAAAAACGTTGTGGTTACTTAAAGTTTGTTAAAAGTATAGAATTACGTATTTAATTTTTTGTATTTTTTTGTGGTGTCAAATCATTTTAATATATACCTTTCAAGTACCTATCTCCGAAGAAATTCAGTTGAATTTTACTCGAGGCTCTACTACTATTCAACAGAAACTAAGCTATTTCTTGCTCATCCATAAAAGCACCTAATTGCATGAGGAAACTAAATGGCACTTACACGGAATTGCTTCTAAAATGACCCAGACATTGTAGATCCTCATCGTAAAATCTAGTCCCCTTGTCTTTTCAATGATGCTATTTTAAAGACCTCCTCAATTACAGTGTAAATAGTATAGATCCTTCTTCATAAAAGGAGCTGTTTAAGGAAGTGAACTATCACGAGTGCGGATTTCTTGAACAATTTTTGAGAATCGCTCGATGATATCGGAAATCCCAGAGCATGCCAGGAGCCCTGTGGCCCCGTGCTTTAAGAAAAATGGCAACCCTGCTCCGTTTATCGGCTGTTATTTCATAATCCTCACACTCGGAGCCAGACTCTTCCCTCGATTACCCGCCATCCTCTCTGAAATTGATCCACGGCGCAGCTTAAACATTCCGTTCGCATCCCCCAACCCTCAAATCCTCCCCCATCTCCCCTTTCCGTAACCTCCTCAACAGGATACCCACCTCCACTCCCCACCGCAGCGCCGCCTTTGACACGGGGCGCGATGAAATAAAAAATGGAAACTTTTTAATTTTTGCTTCATTGCTCGCACCCCGCCCCCCCCTCCGTGTACCACTTCTCGACGTAAAAAAATGAGCGGGGAAAAAGCGTGCAAATTAAAGTAGACAGAAGAAACAAGATCGAGGTTTTTCCTTCCAACGTCAATCTAATTAAATCTAATTTGCCATGGACGTCGCCAGGAAAAGGATGAGGAAGAATCTGAATTTCCGTTTTTAATTATGAATTTCCATGCCGTAATAATTTCCACGCGATAGCGGTATGGGAGTGATTTCTTTCCCCCAACTCGCGTCCTGAAAAGGAAGAGGCGCAAAAAGAACAAGTCGCAAGAGAGATGTAATTAAGTGTTTTAGTGGTCGCTGTAAAAACGCTATTTATTAGTTTCACTCTTCGGTTACTTTCTTTTCTTTTTTTCGTGAATCGTGGAGACTCGTTTTATTAGTCTTTGATACTTTTGGAAAGAAACGTTGCCCATTTTATGATATGATGAAATAAAATGCAATGATTTAATTGGATCAGTTGTGCTGCTGACTAAATCTTAATTTATTTAAACGTAGTGGACGCATTGGGCGTATTCATGAAAAAGACGTTGCCGCAGGCTATTTTTGCGTCTGAAAGAAGTAGAAAGGAAAAGGGAGGACAGAAGGGGGAGAGAGTGGAAAAAGCAGGACAAAAGTTAGTTTAAACATACGAACGGAATACTGCGCCTGCGATAGTATCGGGGCAAATGCGTAGTCCCCGATCGCATAACGCTAAAATACAGCTATTCATGCTTCGACGTCGTGCGGGTTGCATGTTGAAAAAATGAAGGCGCTTGCTTTGTTTATAATGCCAACGTCTGCATGCAACAAAATCTCCTCCAAGGATGTGCGTGTTGTAAATACAAAAAATGAAGGCGCTTGGCTCCTGCTGATACGCATGTATCCTACTTTCTAAGTTCAACGGTTGTGTATTTTGTGTATTGAAAAAATGAAGGCGTGCATTATTTCAGCCTCCAGCTATGAGTGCGGCGCGGTAGTTTTAAATTTCCATCAAATTATTGCATCGATGACTGCGAAGCAAATGGCTGAAGTTGCGTTGTGGGATAACCTCTCTCGGCGACCCTATTTTGAACTGTAATCTTCGACATGAGGAAATGAGAAAAGGGCTCCAAGCAGAAAGTTTACCGTGTTTTGAATTTTTGTTGCAGGCTCGAGCATGGAGTTGGAGGATTTATACAGGCGGTATTGTGCTCGGCTGAAACATTCCTTGTTCGTCGCTTGCCTTTGTTTCTCGTTCTTGTTGTCTTTAATTTGCTTCATCATTCTTGCAATTTTATCTGAGGTAAGCCTTTATTCAAATAGTTCATACCCAATTCCTACCCCCGGCATTTCGTAGTCCTCGGGGCACTTATCTTTCAGTGAACGTGTAAATTAAGGAAGTTTGAATTTTATCTATTGCACAGGAAAATTATTAAATTTTATCTTTTTCTTTTTTGTTTGTGTTAAATCTTAAAAGAAAATTTTCAACAGATTCTATGGAAGCTGATACTGGCGACAATGTACCGTTGACAAAAGCTTTCAGCCAAAGTTAGACTGTAGGTTTTCAGCGAGCAAAAATGTTTAAAAGCTAATTTTGGTGTATAATCTGTTGACTTTCCTCATGCATGTTGGTAGATAATACGTCATGTCCAACATACTCTGCGTTCAATACGGTTGGAAATTCTGTCAACGCATTGCGCTGTAATTTCAATTTTGCGTGATCTCGTATCCAAATTGTCTATTAACGCCCTTCCTTTTTTTAAAAAAAAATTATTTTATTTTAATTTTATATAGTGTTGATTGTAAGTTTTACAAAACGTGTGTTATTATTGCTGCATTGCAAGTAGTCATCTGGTATTTTGTCTTGGGGGGAAAACTGAAAGTGGTGGATCAAAATTTTGGATGAATTTTGGCACACGTTGTCACTTTAATCCCCTGGAGTAAAATGATATGCACTAGGGGCTAATTATTTGTGCCAATTAATTTAATATTATCCATTATGGTTGTTAATATCATCCGGTCGACCTATTTGGAGGGTCATCAGACAAGATCCTAAATAGATAAAATAGCACAAGTTTCCTCTTAAAACCACGCGTAAAAACGACTCTTAAAGCAGGAAGTTCGGAAATCAACCTCTCAACGCGATATCAAGAAGTATTTTTAACACAGATGAAACGGAAGTTAGATTATAAAAATGACGTTTTACATTTGTCACCAGATCAATGTTAGTTTTAAACAATCATATTTTGTTTAGAAGGCGACTTTCAGACTTCTCGTTGTAAGTTTTGTTTTCCTCGCGAAAGAAGAGAAGACATGATACGTTTGGTGCTTTAATTTATACCCTGTTTAGACGCTCAGTATTTGCGTCCAAAAATATTGTATAGTTGAAAATTGGCCCTGCACTCAAACGTGGTAAAAAACTGAAACGACATCTGAAGGAATAACATTTGTAAGGCAAATTTCTCTGCAAGATGGTTGTCCAATGAACCGCGCTCATTTTCAAAGGCGGCAGAACAAGATTCGGACAGCGCTCAGGCGAAAGGATATAAACTTTATGGAGAGGAGGTTAATCTTTGAAATTGGTTGGCAAATTTCCATATTCACTCTCGAGAAGACTTGTATAATGTCAACGTTTCAATTTGAATGATTCATGTGGTGGTCTCTCTCATGTTTAGCGGCAAGAAATTTGAACTCGGTCGAAAAATGATAACTCATCCGGTGCACTTCGTTCGTGGATTCCAGTTTGCTTACCAGAAAAAGAGCTACATTAAATCACCTAGGGTAACCAAGTGATCAGTCATTTTTCAGTGACTGTTTCGAGAGTGGAATTTTGATTCCTGAAAAAATCTTCACCGGTTAAGAAAATTTCATTTTTAGAAAATTTTTATTTGAGGAGCTGTGTCACAGTACGCCGGCCGTTTTTACATATCGACGGTAAAACTATGAACATGCCTAATTTGAGGTTTTGGTGTTTCGAATATTTTTAAAAGGAGACCGAAACAAAGTCATGGCTTGGAGTTTTCACAGAATATTCTTTAAAACGAGAAAAAAAATCACTGACATTTTCAAAAAATGATGGTCAGTAGTTTTTCATGCGGAAAATGAATTATGACAGAAAGTTTGCAACGCAGCAAACCAAGATCCGCATTTCTACAATGTACCTACATCGATATGCTTGGGTCATATTTCGACTGAGTTAAGCAAAAAGGATCCGAGCCAGATCAGCTCTTGCCAAATTTAACTGGGCATTTATTTTTTCTTACATGAAAACGGTTGTGCGGATTTTTGTGCAAATTTCGGTGAATTTTCTGCCTAGTGCGAAGCGAATTTCTTAAAATTTTGAAAGAGGTTGTAAAAAATTAAATTTCTAGTTAAATTTGGCAATAGCTAATGCGACTTGGTTTCTTTCTGCTAAACGCAATCCATTTCTCTCGGCTTCTCTTACTCGAATCAGTGAAAACAAAAACACACCAACTCGGTCACTCGAAAATGCTCAATTTCCATCTAAGACAGTTAATTTACATAAAGTTCATTGAAGCTAGCGCATCTGTTCCAACTTGGACCTTTAAAGTGTCCACAAGTAGTCGTCTTTTGGCAGCAAAAATATTTTTCTTAAACTAACTTCTTCACCTCCTGTGCATAGTTTTGTGTGTGTGTGTCTTCACTGGAAAAAAAACACATTGGATCTAGTGTCCAGACTTTTAAAAAAATCAACAAGAAAAAATACTCTTGATTCAATCAGATCTAAGCTTAAATCAAGAACCAAGCCTCTTAATTTGAGCGGATTCCCTTTTGATTTAAGCTTAAATCTGATTGAACCAAGAGTCCTTTTTCTTGTCAATGTTTTCAAGAGTCTGGACTCTAGATCCAATGTGTTCTTTTTCCAGTGTTGATGATTTTCATTCTTCAGAGTTGGTGTGTTTTCGTTCTCACTGATTCACTCTTCATGTCTTCATTCTGGTTTTGCAGAGTCTGTCGGGGCGGGCGTTGCCGCTGACGGTGCTGGGTCTGATGACGCTGAGCTTGGGGGTGCTGCTGGGGGTGAGCCAGGTGGCCTCGCTGCTGAAGGAGCCGCGGGTGTGCTTGGCCCTGTCTCTGGTGGCCGTGGCGGTGCTCTGCGCCGGGCTGGGCACGCTCATGGGCGCCGAGGCCTCGCTCCCGCTCTTCGCCGTCCTCCTGGGCGTCCACACCGTCCTCCCCATCGCTGCCGCCCACTCCATCGTCCTCGCCGCCGTCGTCACCTTCGCCCACCTCGCCCTCGTTGTCCTCGCACGGCAACACCACCCCGACTCCCTCTTCTACACACAGGTAAGCTCTTAGTTTTTTTTTAATTTGCCGTATACAACTTAAGTACAAAAAAATTCTGTTCATACAATGAATGAAAACATAATTGATAATAAAAAAAGTAAAGATTTAAGGAACTGAAACCTCAAAAGAAAAAATAGAAAAGAACAAGAGAATAGAGATAAGAGGCTAGTTTTTAAGGGCAGGACTTCCTTGAAGAGGAAGGTTTAAGATCCGTTTGCGTCCCCGGAAACTGCCGTCTGGCATACATTTGATTGGTCGAGAGTCTTCCTCTTGGCGGTCAAGGATGCCCTCTTGGCGGTCAAGGATGCAGGTAAGCTCTTAGTATATTCCTATGCACACACGGAGTAAAAAAAAACACAGTTATTCGATGGTTACCACGGTAATAATGTCACACGGGATGCCGTACGGTAGCGGAACCGTGGATTTTGGTAGTATTATTGATGAGCACAGTAACATAACCATGCCCACAATAGTATGTCTGTGCCCACAGTACCTAATATTACACGGTCATATCACTGTGCTCATCGTCACAAGAATCAAAATCCACGATTCTACTACCGTGGAATCCCGTGTGACATTACTACTGTTGTAACGGTAGAATAACTGTGTTCTTTTTCTCGGTGCAGGTATACGCGTAGCTAGCAGTGGCGTAGCCAAAAAAATTTCTCGAGGGTGGAAGTATATGGTCAAAAACTTTTTGTGAAAGGGGAAGTCTAACCCCTGGATCTTCCCAACCAGATACAAGAGACCCTCCACTAGTATCTTGACAATGGTGGAAGCTTTTACCTTCGGGACTTCAACATTCACCTGTTGACGTACCTACTTGGTTGATGGTTAACAACGTGTTGGAAATTGGGAAAGGACATTTCGTCAACGATTTTTTGTCCGCGCACCTGTTTTTTCCAGTAATTTACGTCCACGCGTTTTTTCGGCACGGGAGTTTTGGTCCACGTGCCAGATGAGAACCAAAGTTAATTGGCCCACATGTATATACAAACAACAATTGCTCACGACGTTTTTGGATGAAAATGTACAATGTCTTGGAAGAATGAGGGTTTGCTTGTTTTTTTGTTTTGTCCGTTTGGTCCGACGGAGAATAATATTTAGTTGAGAGTTTTGGTAAAAATGGGAGAGCGTCAATTCCATCAGACAAAATTCACTAAAACTCTCTACACCTCTTTGGTGTAACAGGACTTAATTATCTTTCAAGATGTTCCCACCTTGTTATACCTGAACCAGATGAACCTCTATATTTGCCTCAGCTAAAGGCTCTTAGATTTTTCCAGTGACGATAAGTATCTTGATTTACTTTGCGAGGAAAAATCTGTACTTTTAAAGGATGCCTGTCATTCTTAATACGTTCAATTTCGCATATTACTGGGCAACACCTCTGTTATGAAATAGTTGCTTCAGGCGCCGCCGCACGGCGGGCGGGTGGCTAGCGTGGAACGCGCATTGGCGCCTACAAACCTAAGCGGATACTTCAAGCATTGTGCAATGCGTGAAGTTTCCACTTAGGTTTGTAGGCGCCAGTGAGCCTCTCTCGCTGGCAGCACGCCGCACCGCCCCGCTCTGTTAGGCTTTAATATTTATACTCGCATAGTCAGCGTTTTTTAACTCAGGATTTTGAAATGTTTGCACACTCTGCATTGATTATTCTCATTTAAATTGATGGGGAAAAATATGTATCAATTTATCAATAGAGGATAATAATATAATATGTGTTTCTTAAATATTGGTGGTTCCGTGTCAAATTTAATGCTTTCCAAAGCACTTTAATTTTTTCATTTACATTTTGTGCTTTTATTGTGCTGCAGCGAGGTGTACGCGCAACCAAAGGCTCAAAATTTGACGTATTTGACTTTAAAAGATCGATGTACAAACGGGCAAACCATTGAAGGTCCATTCTTGAAAATTTTCGTGATTTTCCTACTTTGTGTGAAGAAAAGTCTATGAAAACTTCAAGGAGTGATATTGGTTTGTTCTCATTCACAAAAATAAAATGGGATCGGAGATTTATAAAGACCGCAAATGAGATACGTGGTATGGTACTTTCACCGTCGATATTTATTGTGATTAAGAGGGTTATCTGTGTAAATGTGTCCTTTGGATGAATACAAGGAAAAACAAGGCGTAAAAGGAAATCGTGGGTGCACCACACTCCTAGCATTTCGAAGGCCCTTTTCTGAGATGCGTGCAAAAATGATGGTATAATTGATGTTTTGTGATAAGAGAAAAGGGCAAAGTGCATCATTATGTGATCAATGAACGAGTGAGTAAGTGAATGGGGGAAAATACGTGGATTCGATAGAATATCTTAACAACTACGGCAATGTATGAATAGGCGAGTGATATGCCGCACAGTGGCTCGAGTCAATTAGAGAGGTCGGACATGACATTTTTGGCTAAAACTGCACATTTTGATGCTTATTTCGTCACATTTTAAATTACAAGGGGTGCTTATAGAAGAAAATTTCACGAGGAAACCAATAAAACCACTTTTAATAACTCAAAGTTTTATTTAAACGGAGTTACAGGCGTTTAAAGTTTCCAAATTTTGTCCGAGCTCTCCTATTGACTCGATCCACTGTGTGCCGTTGGATAAATTGAATGGTTTGAATGCCCGGGAAGCATGCAACTTGGAGCTCGATCAAGACAACACGATGCGTCGACAACTTTTTATTAAACGTGGGGCTAAGTTGAAAACATCGACGGAACAATGACAATGGACCGATGTCTCTGGTGTTGTAGCGGAGGGAAAATGTTTGAGCTTTGCGCGAAACGAAAGGAGATCAAAACTTTTTAAGCCCGACTAAACCGCTTAGCGACCCACTTCAAAGCCCGAGCTTGGGGAGGAGTTGATCCGAGCTTATGATTTTTTCTCTTGATTATCGCGCGGAATGGCTGCTCCTTTTTCCCAGGCCCATGCTTCCTGGTCCCGGCCTGAAAGGAACGAAACTCCCCAAGGCGCACCGACGCACAGTGGATCGAGTCAGAGGGAGAGGTCGGACCAAACTTGGAAACTTTAAAAGCTCATAACTCCGTTCATACAGAACGTTGAGGTTTTAAAATTGGTTCCATTAGTTACTTCGTGAAATTTCTCTGTAAGAGCATTTCTTAAAATTCAAAATGTAATGAATGGGTCACTTGCGCTGGACATAGAATCGTGTTTTAATGCTTTATTCTTGCAGATCAACTAAAAATAACAAGATCTGCCCAAACAGCAACTTTCTACGTTGAATAAAAACCGAGATTTCGCGCCTTGAAAAACTCGATTTATGACGTCATCCACTGCGATAATACATACCATGTCATGCAGTACCGCGGTGGATGACGTCAATAACCCGACTTTTTAAAGGACGATATCTCGGTTAATATTCAACGTAGAAAGTTGCTGTTTGGACAGATCTCCTTTTTTTTTAGCTAGTCTAGAAGAATCAAGCATCAAAACACGATTCTGTGACCAGCATAACTGGCCCATGGAACATCGAAATTTGCAATTTTAGTAAAAAAAAAAACTCATGTCCGACTTCTGCTCTTCTTGACTCGATCCACTGTGCGACGTGACGCGACGCGACGACGGTAAAAGTCGAAAAACACCCTCCTCTTTTGTGACTTTTCAAAATCTCCACTATTGTTGTGTTTCCCTCGAGGAAAATCGTCAATTTTTGTTATTTTAAAAGAATATTTTGCGTCGAAGGAAGGAGAATCATTAAAAATTCTGAAAGGTATTCATTAATTATTCTTTTCACACATTAACTGTGAGAAGAAATCTCGATGGCGAAATCAATAAATTGCGTACCTCGCACTGAAAAAAAAAAACACCCGCAGTCGAAGCCGTACTCACGGGCTATATATACATACCGTCCGCGTTTTGGGCGTAGCACCCGGAGTAGTCGAAGCTACGGCTCCGGCACCCGGAACTTTTGGCCTTGGAGCTCGGAACGGACGGTATGTCTATATAACCCGTATACCTTTTCTTTTTAATGCAGTCCACGAATATACAGATTTCATATTTTACTCTATAATATAAAATCTTAGAGTAAAGCGTAACGCATTACGTCTGAGACGCAAACCGTTCCGTATGGTTGGACCGCGAAGCGACCAGGGGGCGTAACCTCTGGTCTCATATTACTGTTTTCAGTAGAGTCAATCATTGCAATTCGGCAAAACTTTGATTGATATTTCTTCACCCACTCAAGAAAATACTCTGAGAATTTCGTGCAAAAATTTCCATTAATTCCGAAAAAAAGAGGGGTCGAAAATTTTTAAACACCGGAAATCGAGATCCGAGTCGTAGTTTCACCGCCATAGCTCCAAATAATCACAAATAGAGGTGCGGATATTTCGATTTTCAGTATAGATAAGTCTTTACAGTTAACAAAAATCGAGTTTTGAACATGGGAGAACGTAATTCGAAATTCAGGCCCTGTAACTACTACAATACTATATTAACTAGTGTTTTTTGAGCACCGTGACTCCAAAGAGATCCTCAACTGTTCCAAAATATCGAATTTTTTTCTCAACGTATCTCACCCCCCTCCTCCCTACCTTAAGACTCAATTTGTCTGACTACGTCACGCAAGTACTGGAGAAAGTGCTGCTCAAAGTTTCAATTTGTCGCGTCCATAGTGCAAAATCCTCGGATTATGATCATAAAACCGTCACAAAGAGCCAATCAATTTCGACCGGTGGCCTGTCCTTTTTCATCAAGGAAAAACTGTGTAGGCCAACTTTATGTGCCATGTCACGCACCCTATCACTCTACACGAAGGCCTCCATCGTTGTCTCCCCCACAAAAGAACATATGGACGTATTTATGCGAAAAGGCGCTAAACGCCATTTCCAAACTTCTCAGTAAAGCAAGTTTGACTAAAACAATTGGCGTTTCCGTACTAATGGACCGATTTTGGTTTACTTTAGCTTGTTTGAAAGCTGAAGAGTTCCTCTAATTACGTACGTTGCCAAAATTAGGAAAAAATGCATATTAAGCGAGATAT